TCTGGGTTTCCCTAAGAAGTGTGGACCTACTGGGAGATGTTTGCATGTAACTTGGAGCAGGTCCTTGTTAAGATGAAAAGCTGATGTTACAAAGTAAAACAGTCAAGATGAAGCCTCTTTTAAGTGGAGAATGATAGAGGAAAGTGTTTCTTATCCTACTCCTAGCCTCTTGCCAGGAAAATTTCTTGCTCTGGAACAGGTCCATTTGTTACCAAGTTTCATACAGAGTTGTGTGACACTTGGATGTGCCAACTGCCTAGAGAGATTGCTTGTCTATCTCCAGAAGCTGACTAATGTCTTTACATAATGCATTCTCCAAGAGTAGGACCAACCAGAAATATTCTTTTTTACAGCAACAGCAAGTTGCAGGAGACTCTAGTTTCTGCCTGAGGTTGAGTCTTACCCCAGGATTTTTACTACATGCTTTTCTTCCTCAATATGTAGTCTTTTAGGGTGATGCACTTACCCTCCCATCCTTCCAATCCCCAGATTATGAGAGGAAAAGGTCAGGTAGGGCCTCATGTTAGCTCCTCTTTAGCAATCATGTTTTAACTTCTCAAAACTCAAATATTCATGTTAATCTTTCATAAGCAGTGACTTCTGGTCTCAGTGGTGTCTCTCAGGAATATGCACTGCAGGTTCTGGAGGATCTCTCAAAACAAGTATAGAGGAGAATTTCTCGCTAAGAGATGTAGAATGAAGCCCTTATGCTAATTGATGCTGCTCACCATTGTTTTCCAGTGTTCCCAGTAAGGGCAGCCAGTCTGTCCTGACCACCACCCCCCTCTTTTCTTAGACACCTACAAATGTCTAGAAAGGCAGAGAGAGAGGAGAATGTAATTATCTCCTTTTACTCAAAAAAAACCCCAAAAGCCATCTTAAGTCTCTTGCCAGAGCAGCATGACATTCCAAGTCTCCTGTTTTTTCTGTGTTAGAATGCAGATTTTTTATTCCCTACTTCATCAGGCTGTGTAGGGCTTGTTGGTGTGGGAAGCTTTTAGCAGATTGGAAATGTGGGTAATCTATTCCCTGTAATGCTGTAGAATGTATTTTGCTTGAGCCACTGAAGAGAGAGGTTGGACCTGCAAATTACCATTTATTTGGAGTGCAACATGTCATTTTGACTAATTCCAGTATACTTGAGATATGTGGTCTACATCTGGCTGGGAGTCATCGTTGGCTAATTTTTTTTATTAGGCAGATATTAGTTTTTGACAGGAAGGTTTCATAGGTCTGAGAGGACAAAACAATAGGAGGAATGCGTTGCTAAACAGCGAGACTTCCTTAATGTTTCTTGTATGCATCAGTAGAATGGGGAGCTTGGGTGACATATGTTCTTGATGAGTGCCATGTTAGATCTCTTTTTCTGTATGTGTTTCATGTTTTCTGTTGATTCATATTTCACCCTAATACAGGATGGGGAAACTTTTAGAAATCTTAACAAGTTTGAGGGCAAAAGAATGCATTCTCTATCATTAGTGTGTACTTCCCCTCTTCCGACAGCACACGTAACAGCTGTATCAACTTCCACCACGCCTTTTTCCTTCCTATCTAGGGCAACATACTTTTATTGCACTCACCTTTGTTTAAATTTTTAAAGGACTGTATTAAGCTTTTGAAATAGATACACAGGATGTATTCTTCTGATGCCCTCAGTGAAGATTTTTATTTTTTTTTTTATTATTACTATTTGTTAGGAAGGGCATTGCCTGCAAAACAGATACTTTAGGGGTAACATTTTCAGCATAAACATAATTTAAGCTGAAAAGCTCAAAGAAACTTTTGCACCTAAAACAACCAAGAAAGCAGCAAAAGATGGAAAGGAAGTACAACTAACAATTGCCCTAAAAACGTTATATTGAAAGAAATTTCCCTAAATCGGAAATTGGGCTTTTTATTCTGGGATAGAGATGTCAGGTAAAGAGCAAACAGTGAGGAGGAGTGAGAACAGCATTCTTACTGCGGTGTGAAATGCTGGTTTCTTAGGACATTCAAATATAAGAAGAAAACATAGAAAATACAAAACAGTCTGAGATGCTCCAAATGACTTTTTGGAGTGAGATGAAAGGACTGATGTGTGTAGAGAGCAAAAGGGTTATTTTAGCTGGAAACATGAATGGAGATTGAATCCTTAAAAAAGATGGGTAGCACTGTGTTTCTTTTAAGAAATTTACATTTAAAATAAACATATAAAATCCGTAACAGCGATTGGATTTTCTGATGCTGCTCTGAAGATGAAATGCACCTGGGAATTAAAGTAATTTTGTGTTATCAGACAGGCAGAGCCTCCTGGTGCATGACTTCCTGAAGGTAAAATTTCTCTTCTCATTGTGCTAGGGAAATAAGGTTGTATGATCTGTGTGCTCAGTGTCTGATCCTCACTGCAATTTTATTTTTGAATAAATTGACTGCTTTTGAGGTCAGGAGAAAGAGTGGCTTAAGAAGTGAAGTACAGTTTGGGATGAGTGTGACAGAGAATAAATTTTATGCAACTTTCTATTTAGTTTCTATAGGGAACTTTGTAACTACTAAGTTTTGTTTGAGAGAAGATACATGACTGTAGTAGGTAAGGGATCCAAATGTACCTGTATGGGATCCTGCGTGCCATTCTGCAGGACAATTTGCAAAATCCTGTTAAGGGCATTGTGCTCCAGTAGCTGCTTCTGAGGCTGTAAAAGGAAGGATTATAGTCTTGATTAAATGAGGCAGAAATATCTTTAACCATTACAAATCTGCTCTTGACCTTCTGTTGCTATCCCTTTCTCATGTGAATGCTCACTCAGAATTCTGGTGTCTGCATGCAGAAATCTTGTGTCTCCCTGTTTCTATTTGATATCCTTCAAGTTATGAAATGGTAAGAGCAGTGCCAACCACCTGCGTGATACACAGAAGTAGCAAACCCTGGTTTGAAAGCAGGTCAAGCTGCCCCTGCTTGTTCTTGCACTACAAAGCACTGCACAGTTTTGTTTAACTACAGTACTTTAACTACACAATAGTTATACAGATCCATTAAACTGCCATTAGATATTGGCTGGTCTGTTACATTTGTTTGTTACCTTTTAAAATGAGAGGTCAGAATCTGATGGTTTTGAGAGGGATTTTCCCTCAGAGGGGGTTGTGAGATGGGATTATCCTGTTTGAGTGATCCTATACAGGAAATTGTGGCATTTGTACTTTTATTCTTTTTTAAATCCCTTCCTTTGCCCACAGGACTCCTCTTTCTATTCTGTTCCAAGCTCTTTGAGTTTAAAACTGGTGGATTTTTTTTTTAATTTTTAGAAATATAGGTTGTTTCCAGGCAGAACACATTTTATTCTCAAGGCTCTGGCACTACAACACTTAAAAGATTGCATCAGAATTAGATTTTTATTTTTTTTTAGTAGGTCAGAGTTGGAGAGTGGAGCAAACTTTTACAGTAAGTCAAGTTCTTTACATCTAGAGTAAAAATTCAGAGAACTAGATCAGAGAAGCTTGTTTCACTTCCTCTCATGCAGTTTCCAAAATGCCTGAGTATGCATAGAACTGGGATATCTTCTTAAAATAGTCCTAACCTTAAAATAGTCCTCATTAGGCATGCAGTTGAGCAGTCTTTCTGACTGCATGTCTGTCCATGCAGCTGTTGTGAGTGTTGTGGTAGGTGAAGAGCTGGTGCCGGCACTGCTCTGCTCAGCCCCTCTCCCTTCACATGCAGCACTGCAGCATGTGCTAGGGCGCATTGGGGCTGGCAAGGAAGAGGACAGTGGTGCTGTTGTAAAAGTGGGTTCACCATTACCACTTTAGTACTTGAAAATGGATACTGTATAGTAGTAAGCTTTTTGAATCTGGCCTTTTGAAAGGATGCCAGGAGGTCCCAGCTGGAGTCTGACATGGATCCTAAAATGATGGAGTAGTAACATCCATTAAGTGAGGTTTGTCTGTGACTCAGTGGTTATCTCCTCTCATCTACATTGATTTATTGTGCAAAACAAATACCTCTCGGCTCACTCAGCATCATATCTTGATTTTTAAGTTGGGTTTTTTTTCCCTTTTTTGTGTAAGATAGTATTTTTTTGTGGGGAGAGTATAGATTTGTATTACAGTACTTATATATACTTTACATTGTTTTTATCCCCATCACCATAGCTTATAAAGCCAGGGTTAGGGGATATATTTACTGATAATTTGGGTACAGTGTAAAGAGAAAGAATAGAGGGAAAGCAGTCCGATACATTACTTTCTTCATCTGGTCATTAGTGGAAAGACAGTTCATTTCTGACTACCTAGAGAAGGAAGCAATATGGCAAACGTGGTGGTGTAAGAATACCAAAAGAGTGAGATTTGCATAGGAAAGGGATGTATTAAAGCAATTGATAGACTTAGAAAGTACAGACAACCTTTTTGGAGCTCCTCAGGAGTGATGTTTTCAATAGGATGCATATATTGTAACCACATGTGCATGTGAATTGCAGAATGCTGGATACTGGGTTTGGCTTCTTAAGGGATTATTTTAATTCTTCAATATTTCTTATCCTGAAATCTGAAGCCATTTTGTGGATAATTACGTCATACTGAATTGAGACAACTAGTTGCAGATATACATCACTTTTTGTGAGGTGCTTCTCAATCATGTCTTTGTTCACTCAAAGCCAGGTTGTACCATGTGTGACTTTTTGTTAATTAGTAAGGCTTTTTAAATGAGCAGATAATGTAAAACAACACCACTTGTTAGGCTGGTATTTGTAGCTGTTACCTGTAAAATGTCTTTAAAAGGAAGTTTTGGATGTATTCAGTGCCTTGGAAGAAATGAGGTCTGAGCACTAGACTCCTAAATTTTAATTGTAGCTTTGACGTTTCGCCCTTGAAAGCTGGAATTTTACTTTCGTCTCCAATTCCTTATGTCTAAAGTTGGGGGAGATTATAATTTTTTTCTATCTGACTAAGTAATTAAAGTTTATTAAGTGCTTTGAATACAACAAAATTCTGTTCTAAATGCTGATTATTATCTGTTTTTTTCTACACAGTGTTGACAATTTTGGACTTGGTCTTCTACTTCAGAGTAAGCAAATAAAACGCATGGTGTCATCATATGTTGGAGAGAACGCTGAATTTGAACGCCAGTACTTATCTGGTGAGCTTGAAGTTGAGCTTACACCTCAGGTAAGAAGTGTCTCAGGAAGCCATTGATTTCATCTGAAATACTGGTAAAATAATGCTTAAGTGCTCTTTTAAAATTATTTTGCAGTCCAAATGTTTTGCCTGTGTGCAAGTGTGCAGTAAGGACACATGGAATTTGCCATCTGTGGTGGATTGACCCCAGCTGGATGCCAGGTGCCCTCCAAAGCTGCTCTATAACTCCCCTCCTCAGCTGGACAGGAGAGAGAAAATACAGTTAAATGCTTGTGGGTCCAGATAAGGACAAGGAGAAATCACTCACCAATTACTGTCATGGATAAAACAGACTCACCTTGGGAAAATTAGTTTAATTTATTACCAGTGAAATCAGAGTAGGATAATGAGAAATAAAATCAAGCCTTTGAATGACCACCTTCCCCCCACCCCTGCCTTCTTCCTGGGCTTAACTTTACTCTCAACTTCTCTGCCTCCTCCATGGCAGTGGCACAGGGGATGGGGGTTGTTGTCAGTTCATCACCCGTTGTTTCTGCTTCTCCTTCCTCCTCAGGGGGAGGACTCCTCACACCCTTCCCCTGCTCCAGTGTGGGTCTCTCCCTCAGGGTTCAGTCCTTCAGGCACAGGCTGCTCCAGTGTGGATCACCCACGGGGTCACAAGTCCTGCCAGCAAACCTGCTCCAGTGTAGGCTCCTCTCTCCACAGGTCCACAGGTCCTACTGGGAGCCTGTTCTGGAGTGGGCTTCCCACAGGGTCACAGCCTCCTTTGGTCATCCACCTGCTCCAGTGTCTGTTTCTCCATGGCCTGCTCCACCATGGACTTCCATAGCCTGCAGGGGCATGGCCTGCCTCATCATGGGCAGCAGGGGAATATCCACTCTGGCACCTGGAGCACCTCCTCCCCCTCTTTCTTTTGGGCCCTTGGTGTCTGCAGAGTTGTTTGTCTCACACATTCTCACTTCTCTCTCTTCTGACTGCTGCTGGTGTTATGCAAGTTGTGGGGTTTTTTCCCCCTTCTTAAATACGTTGTCACAGAGGCACTACTGCCATTACTGATAGGCTCAGCCTTGGCCAGTGGTGAGTCCATCTTGGTGCCAGTTGACACTGGCTTCCCTGAACAGGGGAAGCTTCTAGTAGCTGCTCACAGAAGCCATCTCTGTAGCTCCTCTTATAGCCCTCCCCTACCAAAACCCTGCCATGCAAACCCAGTATGCCATTTTAGGCTCATGGGCTATATGCTCCAACTGGTATGTTGCAGAACTTACTGGTCATTATGTGTGAATTCCTCTTATGGCTTGTTACATTATATTCATTTTAAGTATATATATATATATATATATATATATATATATGTATGTATTTTATTTTGCAATGTTTGATTTTCATAGAATTGTAGAATATCAGGTTGGAAGGGACCTCAAAGATCATCATATCCAACCTTTCTTGGCAAAAGCATGGTCTAGACAAGATGGCCCAATATGTTGTTAGCTTTTTTTTGGTAGTTCCTCCCAGACTGTAGAAAAACACATGATGCAGGCTCAATATTGTGGCCCATATAAGGGGAAAAAAGTCGAGGAGTTGCTGAATTCCAGTATTGGTGGCAGCTTTCATGTGCTCTTAGGGATGTTGCGTGTGCAGTGTCTGCCATCTAGTGGGTAGGAATCAAATTAGGATATTTCCGTTTATTGTGAAAACTCTTTGGGGCTTGTTCATTAAATCTTAACTAAATTAATCTCTGCACAGTGTTATGAGCCAATATTTACAGCTTTACTTGTTAGCACCATAGTTTTAATTATTTAGCACTGCCAAGCTTCCCAAATCTTCTTAATGCAATGAGATCCTAAAATCCTGAATATCAGTTTCATTATACTGACATTGAGTTTTGTGAAATTACTACTATAAAGCCTACAGCATGTTAGTGTATTGCATTTCCAAAGGTGACATACCATCTTTGGGCTTTAAACAGCTATTGATTTAAGTCTCTGGGAAAAGCACCAGCCATAAGTTTTTATGGAAAAGAGCATCTTGGGCTCCCTCTCTTAGTAATGTCTCTTAGAATCCCAGAGATGGGCAGAAAAACTCCTTTTATACCCAGTCAGCTGACATGGAAATATCGAGGCACTTGCCACTTCTCATGTTTAAAAAGTAATTTTTTCCTTCTTCCTACTTAATGTTCAGTGCTTTCGTCTAGAAAACCTTGAACTGCTTTGACATGTAATTGGCTTAGTGGACTGCACAGACAAGCTATGTAGGTCCAGCATGAAAATACTATGCAATGGTAAACAGTAAGGTGAATTAATGACTTCCTAAGAGATAGAGGAATTTGAAATATTTGTGTCTTTTGGAAACGCTCTTCAAGTTTGTATGACTTTAGGCAAAATAGGGAACTGTCGTGTCCTTGTTAACACAGGAAGAGAGAGGTCTTGAAATGCTGCTTGGAACACAGGACTTCATATTATTGCATGGTTCACATCTGCTTCTTGCCACCATTTTGTAAGCTTACCAGAAGTCATTGTGTTTCTTGCAGGATAAGTGGGTAAAATGCAGCCTAGGGTTTGGAGGCCATCAAGGTAGATAATTGTCCATTATGGTCTTGTCTTGCTTTGAATACAGAAAAATATTAAAAAAAAATAAAAAAAAGAGAAAGGACACTAATGAAAAACAGGCAGACATATCTTTGGCCATAAATCTGTAATTAAGGCTGATGAGGAATTTGGGATGTTAATAACCATGGTACAGCTGAACACAGAACAGAGTGCAGATGGAGTGGTCAAACAGAGTAGAAATGCTGTTTTGTCAACGTCTTGGTATTCTTAGCATGGGCAACCCAGATCACTGGACTCCCTCTTTTTTTCTCAATCTTCTACTGCGTGGCTCTTTCAACTTGGAGTAGGGTATGAAGTTTTTCTTAAAATGTTAGAGAATGAAACATAAATATGTAGGACTGTTATAAAAGAAAAACCTAGTATATGTAGCCAGGTGGGAAGGAGAAAAAACCTCTGTACTTTTCTCAGAGTAGTGGACTGGGAAACAAGCTGAAGGAGAGTAGGCACAGCAATATGCTGGGGCTTGGGAGTTGACATGGAATTGTGTAATGGTGTGCTCTTGAGCAATTTATGGCCATGTGTGAAGCATTTCTTGCCATATCCAGTACTAGTCCCACAAAGTAGAGCTAAAATGTGAGGAAGAAATAGCTGAGTTCAGAAAGAAAATCTCCAAATGACGGGATTTAAAAATAAGTTCATGGAAGTCATTCATCAAAGTTTGCTTTGTTGTTCCCAAATGACTAGTTAAATATGTTTTCCCATAGGGTACACTCGCTGAACGTATCAGAGCAGGAGGAGCAGGAATTCCAGCATTTTACACCAGTACTGGCTATGGGACGCTGGTGCAGGAAGGGGGTGCACCTATCAAATACAACACAGATGGCACCATTGCCATTGCTAGCCAGCCAAGAGAGGTAAGACATCAGTTTGTTATTAGGAAGCCTTCTGCATTGAAAACTGAATTTCTTACCTATTTCTAAGATAAATAGTAGTTTAAACGCCTCCTGACCAAGTTTAACCTTGCTATGTTGAAATAACAGCATATCTGTGGCACCAGACACATTAGTTTTTCTCTCACTGCTTAGTTTTGTCCTATGTGATGTGTTAGAAAAGTTTTTACAGCTTTAGGGTGACATAGTATCAAGAACTGGTCCAAGCCGCTGAGTACTCTTCACTTGACAGCTTTCTGAGAAGATTCACTGTGTATTACAACAAAACCAGGCCACTGAAGTGCACAGTATGGATTGAGAACAACCTCCTATTAGTGGGGCAGGTGCTTCATAAATACTGTGGTATGGAGTAAGCAGCCCTGCAGCTGTACATAAAAGCTTTAGCATTGGAAGAGATGGGACATTTTCCTGTTAAAGAGGGAAGAGCTCAGTTGACACAAACTTTTGGGAAGTACATTTGTCAGCAGTTGAAATGCAATTTAGTCTTGAGTATGTGAAATTGCAAAGAAATAAAAAGTGTGGCTTCCGAGTGAGAAATGAGGGCTTCATACTCAAGTTGGATGTAGAATTTGGAGAAGGAGAGAGATTTCATTGCCATAATTGTACTTGAAGTAATGGATGGACCCTGATGATCTCTGCTCCCATTAGGCTGCAAATGGGATTAAATTCTACGTCAAGAACATCTCTGGGGTAAAGTTAATTTCCCCTGCCATGGTTTCCGTATATTTTATACATGGCTATTTTCAGTATCTAATCATTAACTTGGTCTTTTCTCTTAATTTTCTTACTGAATATGTCATTATGATGTTTTACCTTTTGAAGGAATGTTTTGTTTATTAAATAGCTTATAATTTTGACAACACTTTTCTTCTAAGATTTGTGGAAAAGTCTCTCTCACTCCCCTCAGTCTTTTGGGAGGCTAATAACATGACTAGCATGATTTGATGAAATCCATTCTCCAAATCCATTTCAAATGCAAGTGTCATTTCATAAAAGCTCAGATCTCCTCTTACAGACTGAAAAACTGACTTTTGATACACTTTTGTCAATAATTCCTTCCCCTCCCAGAAATTTTAAATACTCTCAAATAGTATTTATGTATAATCTAACTTTGACATTAAGAGAAGTGCTGTTTCATGTTTCTATATAGGATTAAAGTACTAGCTGTTTGTCAGTTACATATTCGATCTTCAGGCACAATATCATTATAGATTTTGATCATAAATGCGGAGAAAACCAAATTAAATTCAGCCTGTCAGATGGTGTGATTTGAGTACTCTGTCTCAAATCACCTTTGGTTTAGATTTGGAGTTTCTGGTGGTGGACAGTGATGATGATCTTTTTCAACAGTTCTGCTTTAGCATTTCAGTTTTTGGTTAGTTGGTAGATGTGCAGGAAAAAACATGTCTATTTCCGGTAGATGGAGCAGCAGGAATATGGATCTGATTCTCACTGTGTTTTACTAAATAGTGACACTGTGATAAAACTGGGGTTTACAGCCTTTCCGTGCTTCTCCGATTTATTCAGTACTTTTCTCTGTAGGTGAGAGAGTTTGATGGCCGTCACTTTATTCTGGAGAAGTCAATTACAGGAGACTTTGCTCTTGTGAAGGCATGGAAGGCTGATCGTGCAGGAAACATAATTTTCAGGTATGATTTGTTCACCAGTGGGAAAAGATTCTTTAATGGTTTAGATAATGAGAGGAGAATCCTGTCTTCTGTCTGATGGCAAAATAATATTTTCTTGATTTCACTTTATTTCATATTGCCTTTCCCTACTGTCAGATTACACTGCTATAAAAAACAAAGTATAATTGCTTTTTTTAATGACTTTTGAGAATTCAAACATAGCTGTGAAATAAAACATTGGTAGTTAAAAATGAGACATGGCAGACCAAAGTTATTATGATGACTGTGGAGAAATGTAGTGTCGTTCTGTTTGGTTCAATTTTCATGTTAGTTTGGGTCCTTTTCCTTGTGCAATTGAAGGCTGACCCAAGAAGTGCAGGTTCATACATATCAGAAGAGAAGGGAGCTGATACAGTCTCCTGGCCAGTCAGTGATGGGAAAACTTGATTCTGTCCCCAGAAAAGTATGTCAAGTCAATTTGATCTCGCTGGCGTAGGAAGAGGTATCATATGAAATACTTTTGTAGCAAAAAGTTTGGGCATTGTACTAGAGATAACATCATTTGTTTGAGTTGTTATGTTTGTACTCTGGTGTGTCCTGAACTGAAGCAGGAGAGGATTGCTTATCTTTAACATCTGGTTTTCATTTGTTTGTTTTATGGCTATCAGATGAAAAGGTAAGTGTTATGGTAATCAGCTGCAGGTTACTACAAGAAGATGTTGAATGATGCAGTCTGTATTTGTATGCATTAAACAAGGAGTTGAAAAAGCAACTGAAAAATACATGGATAAAATAATACTGATAATGTTTTTCTTTATATATGTATGCATGTATTCACATAAATTTTTATCTATGTAACCTATGGAAATAATATTAAATAAAAATATTTGAAAATTTAAAAAGAAGCTTTTATTTTACTCAAATCTTGACATCCTGGCTTGCCCACTGGCAAGACAAGATGGTTTCTGATTGAAAACTGAACTTACTTGTGTGTGTGCACATGAATTTGATGGCTGCTAAACTCCTTTCCTTAGACTTTGGGACATGGAATACAGGAAACAGTCTTCACCCTTGTGCTTGTCTTTGTTTGACCTTAAACCTCTATTGTCTGTGCTTTTACCCCGTGTCTATGTAGTGATGCTCACTCACTCAGAAAAATTCTTTCATTCTCCACAGAAACAGACTGGTTGCATTCTCCCCCCCTTTATGTCCCGTTGATCTCTCTTTATCGCTTTTCCTCTCCCTTCTGTTCCTTTCAGAAGTCTTCATATGTCTCTCACATTCACACAGTACAGTTGATACCAGATACTACTTCCATCTGGAGTGGAGACCTAAAAATCTTGAGTCCTTCTTTCAAGTGTAACTAATCAAAGATGGAAACATCATCATCCAGTATCTTATTTCATGTAGAGTATTTCTAGCTTCAAAGAATTTGCTCATAATCAGCAGTGACCTTTTCTGGCTTTAGATGAGGTGCAGATTACCTGATGGCCTAGAACAGAGAAACATAGGCTCATCTCATAGCCTATGGGAGGCAACAGAGGAGGAAACTGTTGTAGATTCAAATGTAACAGCAATATCTCTGTGATCTACAGGACTGATGAAAAGGAAAATGTATTTTTGACATCATGCAACATACTGAGTATGTATTGACTGCCAGTGGGACGTTTCTGTACTGTTTTAATATGACTTCTGTTTTTGTTTGCTGAAATATGCCTGTATACACATAGGCTCTGTGTTTACTCACATCTGCCACTGCTTTCATGGCAGTGTGGTACTATTTATAGTGTGTATCCCATGACTCCGGTATCTGTGGAGCCAATAAGAATGAAGTAAGTGTCTGCCAAACCGTCAAGCTAAGAGCTTTTTTAAATTTGGAGGATGTACTTTAGGTAGACTTATTTGGACCACAGGCTAGTATGAGGTTTTTTGCCTGTTTTCATACATGAAGCTATACTATTTTATTGGGAATCCAGAATGGCACCAGCTCATTTAGAAGGCATTTTTTTAAACATGGTTTTCTACATGATACTTCATGTCACCTAGCTCTTTTGTTCCATACGGCATGCCATGTCTGCCTTCCTTCCAGGCATCTTTATGCTGAATAGACTGTCCTGCACCACAGCTTTTGCCTAATAAGACCTGTATCGGGCCCAGTAGATGATAATTCTTAGCAAAAATTACTGCACCATTACTAAGACAAATAATCCAAGACTTCCTCAGACATAATGAAATAATCCCACCATGTTCCTGTGATAGCTGAACGGATGTATATATGGGCCTTTAGCTTTGTTAGTCTGATGCAGGTACTAGTTCTGTTTAGTAGAACAGAGTGTCTCCAGGTTTTAAGCTTCTTTGCAGCTTTGCTTATTAGGGACAACAGCAGGGAGTGCCACTGCTGTTGTGGACATTCTACCTCCTTTGGATCCCCTCCCGTTTCATCTGGTACCATCTGCTCTGGAGTTGTTCTAGCCCAATATACTTCCACTTTACAAGTGGAGGTGTAGTTTGGTGCCGATGAAAGTGTGCTCTTGACAAAGGAACAGAGGCATTGAAGGGACAACCTGAGTCAGGGCCCCTGCTATCACAGACAGTCATGTCAGGTTATCTCTTCATGCTTCAAGTGGTTCTGCAATACATAAATTCAGTTTATATCTGAGGTGTCCCTTCATCTCTGCACCATTAGGTCCATAGTGGATGTAGATCATTGGTTTAGTCTACTGTAAGCTAGTTTGCTACCTTTTTCCTTTGGGACAAAAGCTGTTGTCATACCTTTGGGTCAGTTTAGGAAGCCATTGCTGGAACAGTGGACTTGCAGATACTGCTGAGTCGAGATGTCCAGAAAACTATCTTAAAATAAAAAGGCAGACTTAGCTAGCTAGTTTCTGCATTTCATACTCCAAAAACCTGAACATTATTCTGTGTTGGAAAATAAGCGTGGCGTTTCTGGTTTTTCTTCTTCTGTATGATGTGTTCTTTAGAAATAAGACCTTTGATCTTATAAAAGACTGCTGGTTTTGAAAAAAACTTTACTAACCCAAGAACATTCTAAATTGCATAAGCTTTTATTAATAGGGTCACAATCAAGCCCATTAACTCTTAATAATTTGTCATTGAAATGTTTTCATGTAACTTTTTCCCCTATGTAAAAATAATTCTATATCAGGTTCTTTTACTGGCAGACCTACAATCTTGAGAAAGTCTTTGGCTCAGAAAAGTAGTTGCTTGGGAGGAAATACTGAATTCTTTGTTTTGCCATCTGCCTTCCCCTATCTGTATCCATTCTCCTGTTGTTTTAATTCAGCTTTTGTAACTCTGGTTTTCTTCTCATTTTATACTCTACCTAGTTTAGGGTAGTTTTACCTAAATCACTGGCAGCTAGTATTGTATTTGTTCACTAAGAGAAGGATATAAATTCAAGAGTTGGTTGGGGTTTTTTTTGGTTTCCTCTTCTTACATCCTTTTGTGTTTATACAGCCACAGAGGAGACCCATGGACAAAAGATACTGTACCTTCACAGCTGCTGTGTATTGCCAGTAAAACAGTATTTCCCCAAGTTATGTGTCATTGCGAATAGTTTTGATTCTGTAGATCTCTACACTAGAAATCTTGTTGAAACTGCATGGTAATTTCAATATTTGACCATTTCAATTCCCAACCTCCACCAAAGCCACGAGGTGGCGGCAGCATCCCAAAGTTCAGTATGGCCATAGCACTAGACAAGGTCATTGCACTAAAGGGTGAAGGAAAAAGCATTGGGAAATGAGGATGGTCAGAAAAAAAATGCTTCTCTGAAAAGGGAACAGGGGGAAAGGAAGTTTTGACTTGTTTTAAACCCTAGTTTCATGCATTTTGATGAAGAAATTTCAAGAAATCTACTCTTTAAAGAGAAAAATGCTGAGAATCCATCAGTAGAACCCCACTAAAATATACACAATTTCTCTTAAATATTATGCTGCACAGTTTTATTTGCTTTCTGAAAAATATAGAGAGGGGCTGACAAAGGTCCGTTGTTTTTCCCTGTACCTACTAGGATCTCAGTGCAGATCCCAGCATGGTATACATGTAATGTATTACTTTTATTCCCTAGAGGTAGTTCTTCCTTGTTACAGAAATACTGTGCAGGAATCGTTAGGATGAATGCCAGAGTCTTGCAGTGAGTGCCAGAACTGGCATAGTTTTTTTAATCAACAGAACTGGATTAAATTGACTACTATGCAAAGTACTATCCCAAGTCCTAGTCTGAATTATAAAGGCATATGTGGGACTTGAGAGGCTGTTAGGACCTGTAACTGGACCCCCTGTGGAGATTAATTTTATTCTTTGTGCAGTGAAATAATGGGAAGGTACATTGTACAAATCCCAGATTGCTGCTGCTGCTCTTGGATCTAATAAATGAAGGTATCAGTAGCATAATCAATTTCAGTTAAACAATGTCCTCGTTAAAATTCAAAAGAGCTGTAGTAAATATTTTCTAATGTAGCAAGATACTTAATTTCATAGACATCTTACACAATTACATAATACTTTTTACTTCCTCGTGTTTTTTTATTAATCCTCTAGCTATTTGGTATATATTTGTGGTGTTCGTATTACAGAGATACCTGTAGCCTATCTCTGAAAAGTCTTTCCTTGTACTATTACAGCTTTTAATATTTATTCATTTTCTTCTCTTTTGCAGGAAAACTGCAAGAAACTTCAATCAACCTATGTGTAAAGCTGCCCAGACAACTGTGGTAGAGGTAGGGAACTGAAACATAGTAAGCTCTTTACCTCTATAGTCAAGAAACCCCTTTGTTTTGCATGGGATTCTAGGGACAGAGTTCCTCTTCTCTTGACTTATTGGGGGATTTCATTCCAGAGACAGTGGTTTAAACTGTCTCCCTGGATTGCCTACTCCTAGTGCTATGTTTTAGTGGTTAGTTCACCATGGTTCCTCAGTTTATTACTGTTGTAATCCTGGCCAGGACTTCATGTTTACTGTGACCAGCCTCTGAAAGGCTACAGCCCTCAAATCTCATAGAATCATAGAATAGTTTGGTTGGAAGGGACCTTAAAGAACATCTAGTTCCAACCCCTTCTAGTAGACCAGGTTGCCCAAAGCCCCGTCCAACCTGGTCTTGCACACTTTCAGGGAGGGGGCAGCCACAGCTTCTCTGGGTAGCCTGTTCCAGTGCCTCACCACCCTCACAGGGAAGATTTTCTTCCTTGTATGTAATACAAATATACTCTCCTTCAGTTTAAAACCATCACCCCTTGTCCTATCACTACACTCCCTGATAAAGAGTCCCTCCCCATCTTTTCTGTAGGTGCCCTCCAGGTACAGGAAGTCCCCTATAAGGTCCCCTGGAGCCTTCTTTTCTCCAGGCTGAACAACCCCAACTCTCTCAACTTGTCCTCATAGGGGAGGTGCTCCAGCCCCCTGATCAGCTTTGTGGCCTCCTCTGGACTTGCTGGAACAGGTCCATGTCCTCCTTATGTTGGGGGCCCCAGAACTGGACACAGCACTGCAGGTGGGGTCTCATGAGAGCAGAGCAGAGGAGAATCTGCTCCCTCAACCTGCTGGCCACGCTTTTCTTGATGCAGCCCAGGATAAGGTTGGCTTTCTGGTTTGCGAGCGCACATTGCTGGCTCATAGTCAGTTTTCCATCCACCAGTACCTCCAATTTCTTTCCTCAGGGCTTCTCTCAATCCACTCATTGCCCAGCCTGTATTTGTGCTTGGGTTTGCCCTGACCCATGTGCAGGACCTTGCACTTGGCCTTGTTGAACTCCATGAGGTTCACACAGGCCCACCTCTCCAGCCTGTCCAAGTCCCTCTGGATGGCACATCCCTTCACTCCAGCACATCGACCGCACCACACAGCTCAGTGTCATCAGCAGACTTGCTGAGGGTGCACTCGATCACACTGTCCATGTCTTCAACAAAGATGTTAAACAGTGCCAGTCCCCACATTGAGCCCTGAGGAACACCACTTGTCACTGCTCTCCACTTGGACATTGAGCCGTTGACTGTAACTCTTGGAGTTCAACCATCCAGCCAATTCCTTATTCACTGAGTGGTCCATTTGTGAAATCCATGTCTCTCCAATTTAGAGACAAGGACGTCATGTGGGACAAATGCTTTGCACAAGTCCAGGTAGATGAAATCAGTTGCTCTTTCCTTACCCACCAATGCTCTAACCCCATCATAGAAGGCCACCAGATTCATCAGGCTCGATTTGCCCTTAGTGAAGCCATGTTGGCTGTCACCAATCACCTCCTTATTTTCCATGTGCCTTAGCGTAGATTCCATGGGGATCAGCTCCATGATCTTGCTGGGCACAGAGGTGCGACTGGCTGGCCTGTAGTTCCCTGGGTCTTCTCTTATTTTACTTTTTAAAAATGGGGATTATGTTTCCCCTTTCCAATCAGTAGGACCTTCACTGGACTGCCATGACTTCTCAGACATGATGGATAGTGGCTTAGACACTTGTCACGTCCCACTCAGATGAGAGAGACAAGTGATTCAGATTCATAAATCCCCAACAGAGTGGACAATGGTGAGACAAATCTCAAAGTCCAACCATTTATTGACGTCTCACAATGTACTAATTGGATACATGATAATTGGCTAAGTATATAATGAGTTGTGGCAAGCGATACAGTATGCCTTGCATTTCTTAATGGCAGTGAAGGAAAAGGGGAAAAAGGAAAGGAGGGAGATGGAGAGAACAGAGGAATAGACATCACCAGTCTGGGTTCCTACATCGATCCCTCCAGTGAGTGCTCCACTAGGCATCCGTCATCTTCACTTCAGTTCACTGTTTAGTTTCCCCCAACCCTTGCCCCCCTCCATTTATACATACTTTCCTGGGGTCTGTCCCCTAGGTCGACCCACATACCTGTGCATCCCATGTATTTGGAGAGGTAAGGTGTTTCATGGGATGATGTAATTAGCATGATCTTGTTAGTCTTCATTAGCATATTCAAGTATATTACCATTAATATGCATTTCATGGATAATGAAGCAAAGGTCACTCACTGGACCTTGAAATTTGACCAGGTTCACCAGAGCAGGGCTGTCCTATCTTCACATGGCTCCTTGCTCCAGCTGCATCCTGTGGTATTCGGGCAGCCTTATCAGCTGCAACCTCCACACTATCTACCCTGTGACTATAGTTTCATTACTTGCAAGCATTTGAGACATTCCTTAGCTCAAAGTGCCTCCACTCGCCCTGTTGACCTTTTTCTCAGGCTGTTTTTCTCAGTGCTTGTTTCTTGCAGGCCTGTTTTTTCAGGACCTGTTTTTACAAGTCATCTCTCACACCACTTCATCTGCCAGTTACCTCAGGACCCACAGATGCATCTCATCAGGTCCATGGATTTGTGCACCTTCTGGTTCCTCAGACGGTCTCGAATCTGATCTTTTCCTACAGTGGCCAGTTCTTCACTCTCCCAGTCCCCACATTTGTCTTCTGCAACTTGGACAGTGTGGCTGGAGCCCTTGCCAGTTAAAACTGAGGCAAAAAAGTCACTGAGTACCTCAGCCTTCTCTGTACCCTGGGCAACCAGGTCTCCTGCTTCCTTCTCAAGATGGCCCACATTTTCTCTGGTCTTCCTTTCTTCACCAGCGTACCTATAAAAGCTTTTCTTCTTGCCCTTGATGTCCCTGACCAGATTAAGTTCAAACAGGGCTTTGGCCTTCCTAATCTTATCCCCTAGCTGCTCGGACAGTTTCTCTTTATTCCTTCCAGGCTACCTGTCCTTGTTTCCACCCTCTGTAGGCTTCCTCTTTGTGTTTGAGCTTGTCCAGGTGCTCCATGTTCATCCATGCAGGCCTCCTGGTGTTCTTGCCTGGCTTCCTCTTTGTCGGGATGCCTTGCTCCTAAACTTGGAGGAGGTGATCCTTGAATATCAACCACTGTTCTTGGGCTGCTCTTCCCTCCAGGGCTTTACTCCATGCTACTCTGTCCAGCAGATCCCTCAGGAGACCGAAGTCTGCTCTCCTGGAGTCCAGGGTAACGAGCTCACTGTGTGCCTTCCTCACCACCCCAAGGAACTTGAACTCCACCATTTCATGGTCACTGCAGCCAAGGCTGCCCTTGAGCTTCACACTCCCCACCAGCCCCTCCTTTTTGGTTAGAACAAGGTCCAGCATAGCACCTCTCTTCGTTGGCTCCTCTACCACTTGGAGAAGGAATTGATCATTAGTGCATTCCAGGAACCTTCTGGATTGCTTATGCCCTGTTGTGTTGCCCCTCCAACAGGAAATCGGGGTGGCTGAAGTCCCCCATGAGGACCAGGGCCTGCGAACATGAGGCTGCTCCTATCTGTCTACAGGGGACATCATCTGCTTGGTCTTCCTGGTCAGGTTGCCTGTAGCAGACCCCCACTCTAATGTCTCCTGTCCCTGCCTTTCCTTTAATCCTGACCCATAAACTCATGGTCAGCTCCTCATCCATCCCCAGGCAGAGCTCCATGAACTCCAGCTGGTCACTGACATAGATAGAGGGTGACGTCCCCCCTCCTCTTCCCTGCCTGTCCTTTTGCTAAATAAAATAATTTGTTAAATAAAATAATATGTGGATGAAAGAATAAACAGTAGGCTTAGGCTGTGCTTAAGAAGATTCACATAAGACCTTATGCAAAACTTAGTGATAATAAGTATATAACAACTTAGATTGGATAAATTATGGAGCTATCACATTTGTGGTCTCCAAAATATAATAAATTACATAAATATCAGTCCAGAATAAGAAGCAGACATTTCATTACGCCTTGAGAAAGAGGATAGACTAGATGATGTAGGTTTATTCGAATCTTTCTGTCATTTTTCCTTGTTGTCTAAAATGATAATGTTTAAAAACATGGAGCAGCCAACACTGGAAGTACACTGGTGATTGGAGAGTTCCTAAGCCATATCAATATCTAAAAGATAGAGTCTGTTAGCTTTTTCATCACACTCTGATATGCCTAATAAACCTTTTATATCACACCATTTATATGCCTAATAAAAGCTAAATATGGTTTGACAGTAAAATCAAGACAAATCCCTCTAGACTATTTCTAGTAAATTGTAAATGAAAGTGGTTTGTGTTTCTTCAGGGTCTTTGTTTGGTTTGTTTTTTTTTCATTTGGAGTTTGGGCTTTGTTTGGGCTTTTTGGGGTTTTTTTGATAAAATCTTACCTGGAAAATATATTCATTACCTAAACATCTCTGGATAATATATTTGGGAACTTGAGTTATTTTTTTTGTGTTATACAGAACTATTTCAAAAAATAGTTCTGACCATAGAATTTGTCACATGACTTACAGTACAGCAACAGTCCATGAATTTTCACGGTTGGTTTTCAAGGAAGGTTTAAAATATTTTTCCATTTAAAAATGAAATAAAGAATCTTTCATTATTCCCTTTTCTTCTAGTCACTTGCCCTTCATACTTTGTTCAGTCTGGCGTTTAGAGAATTTAAGTAGATCAGAGCCTTCCACCTACATTCCATCTCATTCTCTCTTTCTGCTCTTCTATCCACATATGATAGGGTAGAATTTTCTTGTCAGTGAGCAGCAATTATGTGAGATCCTTCTTGTTCTAATTCCACTTAACAGTCTTTAGTAGATCTGCTGTGAACTGTGTCCACCATGAGTCTTGATGCTTTTTCAATACCGTTTAAAAACTGACAAGCTTTTTGCAAGATGGCACATTGTTACTTTACAACTCTTAATTCTTTACAGACAAATTAATGTGTGAAGAAGCATAAGC